GCATCTTGGACCATTGCCAGTCATCCTGATTTCTGTCTTGCCCCTGGACTTCAGTGACTCTGGAAGAAACAGTGAGGCTGATAACTTTGTGCAGCTGTCTTGCTTAAATCTAATTCACCCAAAGTCAGGAAATCACCTGGGATGTCATCTGGTGCTCTTTGAAAATGGACAGACAACAACAGCAGACATAGAAACTAGGACTGAGCGCTTTTCTAAATTTAGAAAAGCGCTCAGTCCTAGTTTCTATGTCTACTTTGGTCAATATTAAGTTTTTCACTGGAGGACTAATTTACAAGTCAGATTCTCATAGGTTTTTTTTTTTAAGATTCTTTCTTTAGTTTGTTGTTAGCAGTGCACATACCAGGCACAATGTTTAGATAAAGATGGAAACAGCCAGGGGTATTTAAAACTGAAATTTTCTGAGGGTTCCAGTGAACTGTGGGTTCCTAATTTAATGTTTTCAGAACCACAAGGTTTGAGCTGGTTTTAACTAATTATTGGAGAGGTAATGTTGAAAAGGTTGTCCTAAAGTGTTCTGAGATGTGTTTTGTAAAAGATTTCAGCAAGAACATCTAAGAATTTCTTTTTTTTTTCTTTTTGGCTAGGCAGAGGGGTTAAGTGACTTGCCCAGGGTCACACAGCAAGTAAATGTCAAGTGTCTGAGGCCAGATTGGAATTCAGGTCCTCCTGACTCCAGGGCCAGTGCTCTTTCCACTGCACCGCCTAGCTGCCCTGAACTTCTAAGAATTTCAATAAGCAATGTGGAACCGGAGAAGCAAATCTACTAAAGAAGAGACCTCTCCAGAGATGCCCCGAGGACTTCAAGGAGGTGTTCCCCAACCAGAGAGATGACCCAGGACATCTGAGCTCCAAGATGAAACCCTGCTTCAGTGGACATTGGGAGTGGGGCGCTGGGATGTGAGGAGGCTTGATGGTAGTTAACCCTGATAATCATCATAGCTTTGCTTTGGTCTTTTACTGCACAAGTATCTGCTTCCTGAGTTTTCTTCGTCATTGTGGAGACATGCAGATCTCTCTTCTAGATTTTATCCACGGTTTTAGAGATCCCTGCCAAGGCTTGGGCTGTGGTTAATCAGCCTCACTGTTGTTCGTTTTGAACTTTGCATTAGTTACCATGTTAATGCCTGTTTTGAAATTCGTGCTCGTGTGCCCTACTGTTGAGAATGATTATGTTGAGGATCTTAAAAGATCAGACTGTAGACAAGTCATCTATGAGAAATACATGTCTGTCATTGATCAAAGGGGAATTGGGAAGGTTACAGTTGATCCTCTATTGTTTTCTTATTGATCCCATTTACAAGTAATTGATCTTGCATGGTTCTTTGTCTCCGAACTGCGTTGTGCTGGCCTGTAATGGGTTAAATTTTAAACTCCATCTCTTCTTGCCTCAAGGAATTTAACTGAAGTTGGGGAATATGAAGAGGAAGGGAGTCAGGCCTGATATCTTTACTCCACATCCATCGGAAAAGGGCTGGTTGCATCTGCCCGTGAATCATGAGCCCTTCTTGGTCTCATGGGAGAAGGGGGTCATTGCCAGTCCTGTTGTTCTCAGTCCCATGATGTCATCTATCCTTCCTGTTCTTTGTGCTGCACTCCCCAAAACCTCTAAAGGGGGAGCTGTCCTTTTCCTCGGGGGTCTTTGGCATTAATGGAGGCCAGCCACAGCCCCATTTATTGACAGGCAGCACACCCCTGCTGATAAATGTTATCTTGCGTGGAGATCTGCCTCAGTTTACCCTTTTGTTAAAATTCAGTTGCCTCAGGCAGTTCATTGCTGCCAATGGATGATACACTAGGCCCAGAACTGGAGGGAAGAAGAGCACAGGTGAGGCTGCTCCACGATGCTGAGTCCTGGGTTTCAGCCCAGGATGAGCCTTGCACCGAGCAGTGTCTCAGAGAAGGGGTCCCGGCCCAAGGGGTGGGTGGGCTCAGCCCCAGACTGAAGCTTTCTTCACTTGATTTTCTGCACTGTGACAGGGAGGAGAGAATCAAACTGTGCATGAAAGGCACTGGCAGCTCATTACTAAACACCAGGAAACAAAAAGGCCTGAGATGGTGGTGACATCTCAAGGCCTTGTTTGTCATTGCAGTTCAAGGAGAGAAGCTTTGTGAGCAGACTCCAGTGACCCCGACCCATGCCAGGGAGGGGCCTGCTCCCTTTACCCCCAAGGGGAGATTCTAGGCCCCTCCAAATGTCTGTGCATCAAAATGAACACTAGTCTCTTTCCACTGAGGTGACCTGTCTGGGAGTCATTGGAATCATAGGCTGCATGCAGCTTGGCTCTCCCCAGAGGGCAAGCCCCAGGAAGGAGGCTTTGGTGGGCTGAGGAGACCTTCTCTGGAGGATTTAGGTGAGAACACTGACAACAGACACAGGGTAGGAAGGGTGAACCTGCCCTCCTGCAGCCCCCACTGAAGAGATCCCCACTCTCCTGGCACACAAGGACTCACCAGGTACTTCACTTTGTCTTGGACTGGATTAGAACTCATACCCAGAAAGGAGACAGTGCTCCACTGCAGGACTGGTCCCAGGGTTAGAAGACCCCAGGACTACTCTACCTTTAAATAACAGGGGTTCTTTTTCATCATGTAAAAAGGATCATGGTGCTCTAGGGAGGAAAGAAAAGAGCTGAGATCAGATCAGAATGAGTCCAGTACACATGGGGCTCACTCCCTCATGACACCAGACACAGCAATGGGTCAGTCAATCAATCTGAGACAGAAACCAGCCGCAGAAAACGTTCTGATCAGGAAGGAAATGCTTTGAGCCACTGGATGAAATCAGATGACCAGCACATTAGGATTTGTGGGGAGCATCAGACACAAGTGGGGCCTTGGTGTCTAAGAGAGGGAGCTTCCAGCAACTGCCCCAAAGCCAACCTTGGGACCCTCGGAGGAGGCCGACCTCGGAGCCAGTAACAGGGGAAACCCCTCTGAGAAGGCCAACCTTGGAGCCAGTAACGGGGGAACCCCTCTGAGGAGGCCATCCTTGGTGCCTATAATGGGGGGGACCCCTTGGAGGAGGCTGACCTTGGTGCCTGTATTGGGGGGACCCCTCTGAGAAGGCCAACCTCAGTGCCTATAATGGGGGAGTAGGAGGGGCAAGCAAGTCCAGAAGGTGGGTCACACCTCCCCTTCCTTGAACCCCTGGTCCACCAACCATGTCATCTGAGACACTGGACTTGGAACAAACAGCACATCCCACCAGCAGTTGGCAGAAGGCCACAGACCTGAGGAGCAAAGGGCAGCTGTAGGGTTCCACGAGAGCCCTGGCTCAGGGCCGAGTAGGACCTCACTCCACATGACCCAGGCGCAGAGCACACTAATTACTCACCTTGTGGCATATGCATCCCCTTTCCATGGGCTCTGTGAGGCCTGGGGAGCTCTCTTTCATAGTGCTGTCCTTGGTATCTGTTCTCTAAAAGCTAGCTCCCTCTGGCTGCACAGACAGTCAGTGAAGAGAACACCAGCAGCTAGCCATGAATGTCAGTAAAGTAGAGCCCTCAGGGTCACCTCAAGCTGCTCTCAAGGGGCCCCGCCTACCAGTGGCCTGGGCTCCAATGAACCATCTAAATGCCTGATACACAGTAGGCATTTCATAAATGTTTGTGACTAACTTTTACAAGGTGAAATAATCAGATCCAGAAGTTAACTGCTCTGCCTTTGGGCAGAATGCCTGTGGCACCCTCCCTCAGTGCTCTCCTGTCTGGGGCCAGGCTTGGGGTCTCAGCCCTCACATTAGGCAGGGTGTTCTGTCCTTCTGTCTGCCACAAACACATAAAAAACTCTGCCTCCTCCCGGAGGTCTCCCAAGTCCCTGTGATAGCCAAGAGGCCGGATGTCCCCATGGGCTAGGTGATTTCGTCTGTCTTTCCGTCTAACAATCATCCCTGCCTCTGTCTTGGTTTTCCTTCCCTCTCTGCCTTTCTTACAGTTCTGCACCTGCCTGTGGGCTGTCATTTGGGTTTGAGAAATGAGCATCAGTGGTTTCCTCTCACCCTTCCTGACGAGTTTGAGGAGACTCAAAGGAAATAATGCTTTTCTTCCTTTGGTGAATTCCCTTCTGGCCAAGAACCTGTCATTCCTGTTCTTTAGATGGGGGTCAGAAAACAAAGCCCCTTTTCAGACACCACTTTCACTTTGGCTGTCTGCTTCCCAATCTACATCTCCTCTGTCCTCCACAAGCCCTGACCCATCAGGCTAATTTACCTAGCCAGAAACAGAAGGAAGGTCACTCTCTCATTACCTGTCCTTAGGTGAGTCTGTGCTAGCTTGGGGCGCTTCCCTTTCTGCAGGTTCATAAACCATCCCTTTAATGAGTTCTAGCATTTTGCTAGCACAAAACCATAAAATGACAAAGTTGGGCTCGGCCCTAGAAATAGTCTGGCCTTCATTTCATAAGTGAGGACTCTCACTCCCTTGGTACACATGGCTTCTTCACTCTTATCCCCAGTGATGACCATGCTCCCAAACAGGGCTTTGCACACCATAGGTACTGTATAAATGCATGACCTGGGATGCTTCCTGGCCTATGGGTTAGACTGGTCATGTTCTACATTCATGGGGGAAAATACCACTTCTGCCGATAACTGAATGGAGTGGAATCACATTCATCCCCAGGACTCACGCTCACTCTCCATGTGTCTCCCTCGGTCTCCTTCTCCTCCCTCTCTCTCAGATCTCCATCCCTTTATGCCTCGAATAAACTTATCCGGGCACTGAGAACCACCAGCTTCCCTCCGTCTGACCAGCCTCCCCAGAGGTCTCCTCCATGGGAGGCAACACCAGGGTCTGGTGCTCAGGCCGCCTCTAGCCTGGGCTCCACTCAGAAATGGGAAATGGTTTCTTGGCAAACCCAAACCCCAGAGAATGAGCACAGAAAATGGGGGTTCACATGATGCTTTGAGCTCCTGTCTCAGGGACTGCTCCCCAAAGAATGGGTGCCACTGTCCCCCCAGGGGCAGAACCAGAGCTCAGTACCGTGGTGTTCCTGAATCGCCAGTAGCCATCCGGCTCCAAACGCTTCTTCTTCTCCATCTCCCTGGGGGAGCTGAATTTGTCAATGATTTTCTGCTGGAGAGGACAGTCCACGTTCTCAACCCATCTTTTGTGCAGCATCTCTTTCCTCCTTGCATTTAAAAAATCTTGGTGCTGCAGATACTTGTCCAATTTCTAGGAGAAAGTGAGACACGACAGACAAGTGAGAACTTTCACTCCAGGAGACAGAATGAAGAGACAGCCTCATCCACTTCCTCTCTCCTAAGCCACAAGGGGGCATTTTTCTCACCCTTCCCGCCAGCCTCCCAAAGACAAAGGGCCGTGAAGCCAGAGGAGGTGCCATGGGTCTCAAAACACTCTCTCCTTTCTGTAAAGACAACTGATGGGACAGGCTCCCTGGGCTTCTCCTGAAACTCCTTCTCAAATTGGACTCCCCTCCCTCAGGAGTCCTTTCCATCACTAACCTCAGACCTTCTGCCTGCACTCCATCTTATTTACTCCTTTTTGCAGGGAAGATAAGAATTGGGGTCCTAGGTGCTATCTGACTTCCTTGTTCTTGCCTAGTCCAAGTGGGAGAGTCAAGGGCCCAACAAGAAAAGAGCCACATGTTTGCTCCCCAAAACCATTTTTTCCAAGATTTTAACAAAAGAAAAAATTCATCAGTCATTTTTGAAAATTTTGAAGCTTTTTTTTTTAACACTTAAGATGGAAAGTGGCAGAGATCCCCCCTGGAGAAGCAAAGCAGATTAGAAACATCTACTGCCCATGTCTAGCCATTGATGTTTTCACCTTGCACAGGAGGGCTGGACCCAGAGTTTCCAAGGATGAAAAAATTGGGCCGAATCACATGGAGAGTAGTAGATGAGATGATGTGGGACAAAGCTGCTTTCAGCCCTCCCCTCTCCTGGAGTCCTCCCTCAGTGACTGGCAGGACCTACAGTCAAACTGGCTAAGGCTCCTCACCAGGCCACCAACCACTAGGCAATGAATTCTGTGCCCATGTCAACTCAGAAAGCAGGAAAACAATGAAACACCCCTTCCCTCATGTGGCACCCTCAGATTGGTAGACAGCCTAGGGGGGCTTACAAGGCACACAGTCTTCTGTCTATAAGTTTTAGTTAGCAGTTCTAAATGTGAGATTGGGGTCCAAGAAGTCTAGAAGACCCGCGGACAGGAAATCTAAAGCCAGGTGAGTTCCCACTGGAGCAGGCAGAGTCTGGCTCATGCTCAAAGGCCACAAGCAATGCTGCTTTATGGAGCAAGTGGCCATCGTGCTGGGCAACTAAGTAAGACCAAAAATGTGCCAATGCTGTGGGCAGGAGATGAAGAGGTAGAAAAGATCCTATGAAGAACACACAGAGTCCTGTGCTCCTGGATTTGCACTGGACTTCCAAGACATCTATGAGCAATAATCCACTCTATCACCTACACAACAATGGCTTGGGAGCTTGGAAACCACCAGGAGGGGCAGTCCACCCATCCCACTTTGGGAGGAAGCTCTCATTGTTAGGGTTTGGCAAGATCCCCAGGTCAAGACAACACCTGTGGGAAGACTGGGACAAGCACAGCGAGGCTTGTGAGGAGGAGGAGGTCGGAAAATGTGGTCCAGAATTATAAAATGAAAGACACCAAAGGCTTGTGGGATCCTCTAAAGCAACCTAAAATGGGAGCAACTGTTTCAAAGAAAAGGGCAAGAAGATGAAAGACAGGAAAACTTTGCATGAAACTGCCAAAAAGCCAGAATAAATGAGTTCAGGGGAAAAAAAAAGTCCTTGGTATGATGTATCATACTGAGGGGAAAGGGAAAGCAAGGAGAAATGCCTAACTAGGAAGAATAACATGGGGGCAGCTTGGTGGCGCAGTGGATACAGCACTGGCCCTGGAGTCAGTAGGATCTGAGTTCAAATCCAGCCTCAGACACATAACATTCACTAGCTGTGTGACCCTGGGCAAGTCAGTTAACCCCTATTGCCTCACAAGGAAAGAAAAGAAAGAGGCATTACCAAGGGGCAGCTAAATGGTGCAGTGGATAGAGCTCCAGCCTTGGAGTTCAGGAGAACCTGAGTTCAAATTCAGCCTCAGACACATAACACTTACTAGCTGTGTGACCCTGGGCAAGTCAGTTAACCCCATTGCCTAACAAAAACCAAAAAAAAAAAAAAAGGAATAACATGGCAGCAGCAACTGCGCCTCAACCAGAGAAAAGGAATATCCCCAAAGAACTTCCAGAGTGGTTCAGAATCTCAAGAAGACTGGAAATAAGACCAAGAATTTCAAAAGAAGAGTTTCAGAAAAGCAATAGATTCTGTAAAGAATAGAGAAGTTCAGGCTGACTAAAAAAAAAGAGAGAGAGAGATGGAAGAACAAACAAGAGGGGGAAATTTTTAAGCAATAAAACTTGGAGAAGACTTTAGTTCTCTATAAACCAAAGCAATACATCTAAAGAACAAAACTCAATGAGGCAATGATAGTTATCTCAGGGGAAAAAATGTGAAGAAACAAGGAGTCAATATCAGGAAACCATGAAACCCCCCCCCAAGAAAACCAACAACAACAAAGACCTGAAAGTCTGGAAAATGCATAGCAAAATGCAAATAGAATCAATCCACAGCTTGCCAACAGGGAGGAACCTGAAGTTTAACTCACTCCAAAATTTTATTAAGTTGCCAAACTGTAGTATCAAAGAGAAAATCCTACAAGTAGCCAAAAGGAAGCAATTCACATGTTCAAAAGGACTAAATCAATATGTAAGACTATTCAGTAATGATTTAAAGACATGGCTGAAATATGCTATGCCAGAAATCAAAGAGAAATTAATAGACACTCTAAAACTAATAATCCTGAAAATTTAACATATTACATCATGACAAATGAGGTCAGAAAATTTACTTCTTTCTTCCTGAGAAATCCAGAACTGAGCAGTGCCTTTGACAGGCAAATTGATCAAGGAGGGGAAAATTAACAGTGGCATCTAGAATTAAACACAAATGATGATGAAGAATTACCAAGTTTTACATTCTAAAAGGAAGTGACAAGAAAGGTGCAGGTCTTAGGTCATATCTAGTGTAAGGTAAATACTTTGTAGAAGAATGGAAGAATAGGGCCTGAGAAGTGAAATAATATTCAAGAGAATAGATCTGAAGCTGGAATCATCCAGCCCAACTCCTTTATTTTACTGATGAGAAAACTGAGGTTTATACAAGTTAAGTGATTTTGTTCAAGCCCACAATACGATAAATAGCACAGACAGCATTCAAACCCAAGTCCTTTGACTATATAACCTAGCTGTCCCCACTGACCCATGGTGTCTCCCTTTTAAAAATTAAGATGCATAAATTGAACCCCAAAAGTAAAGGATAATGAAACAAAGAGGTGGAAGGTAGAGACCAGGAGGTGATTTTTTTTCTCAATTACATGTGAAAACAATTTTTGTTTTGTTTTGGTTTTGCTAGGCAATGGGGTTAAGTGACTTGCCCAGGGTCACACAGCTAGTGTCAAGTATCTGAGGCTGGATTTGAACTCATGTCCTCCTGACTGCAGGGCTAGTGCTCTATCCATTGCGCCACCTCGCTACCCCTAAAAACAATTTTTAACATTCATTTTGCTAAATGTTGAGTTCAACATTCTTTGTATCCCCCCTCCTTAAGAAGGCAAACAATTTGATATATATATGTGTATGTATACACATATATACATACTGTACATAAATATATATGTATGTATGCAGTCATACAAAACATTTCCATATTGACCATGTTACCAAAAAAACCAACCAAAGAAACCCACAGACTCTCCCCTTAAAACAAGAAAAATAAAGGAAAAAAGTATGCTTCAATCTGCATTCAGACTCCATCAGTTCTTTCTCTGGAGGTAGACAGCATTTTTCATCATAAGTCCTTTAGAATTGTCTTGGATCATTGTATTGCTAAGAATAGATCTAAGCTATTTACAATTGAGCATCATACAATGTTTCTGTTACTGTGTACAATGTTCTTCTGGTTCTGCTGTCTTCACTTTGTATCAATTCATGTAAGTCTTCCCAGGTTTTTCTGAAATGATCCTACTCATCATTTCTTATAATAGTTTTCCATCACAAACATATACCACAACTCGTTCAGTCATTCCTCAATTGATGGACATCCCCTCAATTTTCAATTCTTTTATCACCACAAAAAGAACTACTGTAAATATTTTTGTACATATAGGTCCTTTTCCTTTTCCTTTGATCTCTTTGGGATACAGACTCAGTAGTAGTATTGATAGGTCAAAGTGTACGAAGTGTTATAGCTCTTTGGCCATGGTTCCAAATTGCTCTCCAAAATGTTTGGATCAGTTCACAACTCCACAAACAGTGCATTAGTGTCCCAATTTTTTTTAACATCCCCACCAACATTTGTCATTTCCTTTTTCTGTCACATTAGTCAATCTCATGAGTGTGTAATGGTAACCTCAGAGTTGTTTTAATTTGCATTTCTCCAAACAATAGTGATTTAGAGCATTTTTTTTCACGAGTATAGATAGCTTTGATTTCTTCATCTGAAAACTTCCTGTTCATATTCTTTGGCCATTTATCAATTGGGAAATGACCCATATTTGTTTTTTTTTTAAATAAATTTTGACTCCTTTTTCTATATATTTGAGAAATGAGGCCTTTATCAGAGAAACTTATTGTAAAGTTTTTTCCCCAGTTTCCTGCTTTCCTTGTAATCTTGACTACATTGGTTTTGCTTCTGAAAAACACTTTTAGATTTAATGTAATCAAACTTACCCATTTTCTATCTCATAATGCTCTTTCTAATCCTTGTTCAGTCATAAATCCTTACATCATCTATAGATCTTTCAGGTAAATTATTCCATGCGTCCCTAATTTGTTTATGGTATCACCCTTTATGTCTAAATCATGGACCCATTTTGACCTAATCTTGGCATATGGTGTGAGATGTTGGTCTATATATAATTTCTGCCAAACTGCTTTCCAGTTTTCCCAGCAATTTGTGTCAAATAGTGAATTCTTGTCCCAAAAGCTTGGGTCTAGATTACTACAGTCACTTACTACTGCTGTGTATTGCATACCTCATCTATTCCACTGGTTCACCACTCTACTTTTTAGCCATTACCAGATTGTTTTGATGAGTACTGCTTTGTAATGCTTTTAGATCTGGTATGGCTAGGTA